TTCTCTATGAGAAAGCCATCTCATAGAAAGAGCTTTGTGTGCAAATAAAAATTCTGGAGTAAGCAATTTTCAAAATGCACCTTAACTCATAAAGCCTCTTCTATGAGGTTGCCCAAATTTTTAATAATCACTTGCCTTCATGATGACGAAGTAATGTCCAAATTTCCAATTTGCATTTTTACAAGTTAGAATGAGCAATGTCCAAATTTTTAATTTGCACATTAACTCACAAAGCTTCCTCTATGAGGAAGCCAAATTTGAATAGACAACTTACCAAAATGTTAATGTTGCATTTTGCAAATTTCCAATTTGCACCTTATAAATAAAAAACAACTTGCAAAATGCTGATGCTGCGTTTTGCAAATTTAAAATTTGCACCTTTAAAATACAAAACAAAGTCCAGATGTTGAGGAAGCAATGTGCAAATTTCCAATTTGTTTTATATTATTATCTAAGAAGAGACAGAGAATCGACTAGCTTCTAGCTAACAGTTAACCAGAAAATGAAAACTTTAGGCCTTATGAGTCAATTTAATATTGTAAATAAATTTCTTTAATACTGTGAAGTTTAGTCTTTAACTTTATTTCAATAAAATTTTCAACAAATTTAATTTTTTTAACTACTTGGTGATTAAGATAATAGATTAATCTTTATTTCTAAAAAGTATAACATGATTATAGATTATTATCTCAACGTAGAAAAATATTTCTAAATTTATTAGTTTGAAAAATGAGAATTTTGAACATTAGAAAAATTGATTAGAATATGCGAAACTCAGGTGAAGAATATCTAGAACAAATAGAATTAGTAAGGTTAATATGAAAATAATAAGAATTATTAAGAAATTAAAATCTATAAAAATGTTTGACAGGTGAAGGATAAGTTAATGTCGCGAATGGCAGCGGCGTATTCGTTGCAGAAGATGCGAAAAGCGCTGAGCGAGCTTCGCAATACCGTGGCAGCTGAGAAAGAGGCACAGAGAACGCAAAAGGAGGCGCAGAATAATTTCACGTCTAATTTTCGCGAAAACAGTAACCCAAGCACTAACAGCGGCATCGGCAGTAAAACCAACGAGAAACGGAGCAGTATTAATAACAATATAGAAGAAAGCGAATGTGAGTGTTATGTTTGAAGTTGCAGAAATTCTAGAAAAGATTACGCACGTGTAAAATATTTCAAAATTAACGAGTCAGCATTTATTGCATTTTTTTCTTATCAAAAGCGCGTATTTGATCAGTTATCAGTTTTCTAAATCTAACAGTAAACTTTTCCAAAGAAAAATTCTTTCGACATTTAACATTTTGACAATTCATACTTATTATTTCTGTAATTAATTTGACTGCACAGTTTTGTCTACATAATTTTTAACTCTTACAATCCTTTATTTGAAAACTAGAATTTCGAAATTTTACAATTTTATAAACACATCGAAATCTGCTATCGAAATTAGGTAAAAAAGTGACATTTCACTATTTGCAAAACTAACGTTTATTTTCGGAGAATTATTTTAATTTTAACTGTTTACAGTTAAAAAAATTCTTGACCTCTCATTTTTTAACTAAAAAAATGCGCAGTTAAGAGATTGTTTGATAAGTCAAAAATAATCCGCAGCAATCCAATAAAAATCAAGTTTAAAAAGAATAGCTAATACAAATTATATAACACAATTGTTTGGGTTATGCAGCCGACGAGGAGCCTAGGATGCCTATAAACTGTCCGGAATTAGAAGCCATCGAGTGGCGATGCCGAACCGTGGATAACTTGGCCGGCGACACGTCTCGGATGCTCTACGTGCCCTGTGTGAAATTGCAGATCTGCAAAGCTTGCGTAAGTCCACACAAACCCCTGCCTTTACGTTCTAGAGATTCTCGGATAATTCAGAGATTACAGATATAAATCTATTTAATGTCGCATATGAGAAGATACAATAATGTGCTGTACACTTATAACTCCAAAAATCTTTGAATATTATTCAACAGTAAAGAAAAATGCAACTTCAGTTTAAGCTTCCACATGAAACGTCAAATATCAATATATCAACATCTCTTGTTTGATTAATGCTCAGTTATCAACGCCAAGTATCAAATACCTGTACGTTAAATGCACTCAACGCTCTACTAGTCTCGGGATTTAAAGAGAGGTTTAAGATTTTTTTAATTTAAATTCTCAATTCCCACGTTATTCTTTGGGAAGGCTACGATAAATCGTTTTGTACGAGGTGCAGTCAATGGCGCTCTGATAGTCTCAGGACTTAAAGAGGCGTTTACGATTTTTAAGCTTGAATTCCCATTACTCTTCAGCAAGTGATAAACTGTTTTGCACCAGGCGCAGGACGAGGAGGGACTGCTACCCTGCCTCGCCAACTACGCCCTGGAGGCCGGCAAGACGTGCGACGCGTTCCACCCCAGGGACGGGGAGTCGCGGACGACGGGGGCGGCGCGTGAGGACGAGAGGCAGTCGTGCGCGAACGCCGCGCTGCTGCTCTCGCAGCTGCAGCCGCCCGGGGTGGCGAGCGCGCAGTGCCGCGCGCGAAACTCGTGTCTACGGCGGTACCACGCGCGATACGAGCACCGCTACTTCCGCACGTCGCCGGCGTACGAGGGCACCGGCGGACGTCGCCTCCACCACGAGGGCGCCCTCGACGCGCTGCAGCAAACCATGTCCGAGCGATAAAGGATCGGGCGCGCGGGAGGAAGCTCCGGTTCGCGGCCGCGCCGATACGGCGGGCCGCCGATTTATCCGGACGCCGGACGTCGCCTTGAGCACCGAGTCCCCCTGACGCACTCGACACCCGACCGAACGCGAACGGAGATTTTTCATTTCAACCGTGCCGAGATTGCGTTGCCGCTGTCGTATCCGTTACTTTCGTTCAACCAACCCCCGGGGCCTACGTTTCCTTTGTCTAGAGGCTTCGTCCGGATAATCGGCGGTCTGCTGTATTAAAGAATCTTCCGTCGTAATGGGGCGTGAATCAGGGTTAATCCTCGCTGGGCACCGCACTGGGTTTCTGCCTGTCGGATTTCAAAGAAAAAGTTCTTTAAAAAAAGAGAAAAGAATTATGAGTGGCTCTAATCAGAGAAATCCCTACGTGGGGTAACAGTTGAGGATTGACGAAGAGCTGGCACACGAAAAGTCGTTCCCGAATCGAAATACAATGGATCGGTACGAAAGTGCGTTAATTATTTTTTTGAAATACCGGGAAAAAGATTTTAAAAAGGAATAAGTTTGCGAAAGTCGGGGGAGTTCCCGGCTGTCCGTTTTTCCTTTCGATTCGAGATCAGACCTCGAGAGTATCGGTGGTACTCGACTCGAAACAGCGCCTCTCGCACACTACGCTCCTTCGCGTCCAAGTTTCTCGTCGCCGCGAGAGATGTCAAAATCCTGAATTTAAAAATTACAAAGACGGCGTCTAATTAGCGGAATGACGCGCTTCGTCCGTTAAAAGGAGCTTGATAACCCTGGATCCAAGAGGAGAGTATATGGTATCTTTAATTCGGAGAGTAAGGATGTTCTATCTATTTGCGAGGTGCGCACGGAGAGAATCTTAAAATTTATCCCGAGGAGAGGATTTTCCTTGAAAATTTATCTTGAAAATTATATAATCGTGGCATTGCATAGAACTTTTACGAGAATTCTTTGAAGTTTTTTTACCATACGTTTCACTAGTAACTTATACTTAGTGTACATTTTACTAGTAAATCGTGTGGTAAAATTTCAAAAAGCTCCCGTAAAGTTCTTCGAAAAAGCCACGTTATCCCACGATCACATAATTTTCGGGAGAAATTTTAAAAGAAAATTCCGTCCGTGTAGGACGGCGCGGCGTTTCGAAGAATTTTATCGAGAGTTTTCGGAAATTTTACCATACATTTGACTAGTGGAACGTATAGCAAAATTCAAAAGGAACTTTCATACGGTTCTTCGAAACGCCATGATTTTCAGGATAAATTTCCGGAGGCAATTCTCTCCGCGTGCTATTCTCGTCTGGACGGCTTCGCGCGAAGCAACGCCCTCTCCTTTCCTTCCACACCGAACTGAGCAACGATGTAGCGAGTTACAGAGACAATAAATAACGATATCCCCGACAGATTTATTCGCGCGCGCGACGACTCGCGAACGAAGAGCGAATGACTATGCGAGTGTTCGCCACACCGGGAGGGGTTGCAAAATTTCACCGGACGGCAGTTCGGACGAGCGCCTCGCAAATGAAGCTCGAGAGGGAGATCCAACGACGCAAGAAAAAAAATATATGTGTAAACTGTTGTGTTAAGTATCCTTAAAAAAAAAGAAGAGGAGAAAGTATTGTCGCGAGCGCAAGTGTCTCCCCCTAGCGCATTAATTCTTCGCGCTCGCGCCAACAGATTATTCGCGCTTAAGTTTCTCGCACGCAGTAGTTTACACGCGCGGAATCGCCGCAGTACGATGCGTCTCCCGCCGGGAGGGACGCGGGGAAGGGGAAGAGAAAAGGGAAATGGAAACAGGCAGAATGAGAGAGGCAAGGAAGGATACTCGACGCAGCTTCCAAAGAGTCTATCTTCGCAAATCTATATCTATTATTACTGTCTATTATATATCAAATGTTTACGTTATACGGCGTTGTACGGACACGCGTGTCGACGTGTCTGGTCGATGTGTCGTATATTCGAAATGTAATAAATATATTTCAACATAAACCGGCGCTGTCTTGCGGCTCGGCGTTCCCGTCTCTCGGCGCACCTTGTCCTCGGGGAAAATTTACTTTAAATGAAATTAACGTTTTTAAAAGTAATCTTTCGGATCTGAGAGTTTACTTGAAGAAGCTATAAGTTTACGTAAGAAATTTTAGAGTAATTTTAAACACTTGCAGTAATTTTTAGGTAGCCAAGCCTGTCGAAGCTCCCGCTAGAGGGCCGCGCGGCATAGCACTTTCTCGTAGAGAAGATCGCGCGCGGTATTAGACATTATATTACATATTTTTCACAATACTTACAGTTTCCTATTGAATCCTTAAAGTAAGTTTTAAGTTTACCTTAAATAAAAGTCTAAGGTGTGCAAATTTACTTTTCTAAAGTAACATTTTAAGTTTTTCTAGGGTACATTTTCCCAAGGGTGGATTTGTTCCTTAAGACCTGCGTCCGCGATGCTAGAACTTGGTCCAAGTTCTAGTTCCGTAAAATGCGTAGCCAATCAACTCGCAGCTTTTATGGAACAGCTTTCTCGGAACCAGAACTTGGACCTAGCATCGTGGACACAGGCCTTTACAGCCAAACTGGCTGCACCAGTTCAAAGTTCCTCTTTTCCCCTCTACATCAGAAGGAGAAAGATAAACTCTGAACTAGCGCAGCCAGTTCAGCTATAAGGAACAGACCTCTTGTCATAAAATTTTGCACACCTCGTCGTTGTCGCGCGACTCGGCAGCGTCGCGAATGCGGTCAGAGAGCTCCACTGGCTCGGAGACGTCCTGCAATAGCTCCAGTATCTCCAGGCAACGCGGTCTGTAGAGCCTCAGCAACTCCAACTGCAGCCTCGCGCAATCGTCTGCAACAAAAGCCCGACGGTCGTTTAGTCAAACGTTCAAAATTGAATCCTCGCGGCTCGGCACCATCTCCTCGCGCGCACTCACTCCGCAGCCTCGACACCTGCTCGAGCCTGATCTTCAGTTCCATCTGCGCCTCGTTCACCCGCGCGGTCGTCTCCTCGTACGAATCTTTCGACATGACGGCCGATCGAGTTAATCGACGCCGATTGTGGATCCGCGATTCGTCCGATAACGCCGATAACACGAAGGGAAACGGCCGCGGTTTTTACGAGTCGCGATTGACTTGCCGCCAGCAGTGCCGCCAACGCAGACGAGATTGCTGTCGCGTGCTCGCGGGTCAACACGATTGGCCGAATCGAATTCTTCGCTTTGATTGGTTGTTTCTCCAGTCCCGTGTCAGTTGTATGCATAGACATATAAAAGATAGACTGCTTATGAGGTAGTGGGGGATGTCCTCCTGAGGGAAAAGGACAACATCAATTTATTTGGGTATCTATCTTCTTCTAGTGTACGTGATCACGTGGGCGTGATCACGTGATCGCCTTCAGATCACGTCCACTAGAGGAAGACAGATACCCAAATAAATTCATGTTGTCCTTTTCCCTCAGGAGGATGCCCCCGCCTAGGGTTCCACTGCCTCATAAGCAATCTATCTTTTATATGTCTATGGCTGTATGTTACGCGCGGTCTACAATGGCAGTAGGAGTAGGTGGATGAAAGGCCCAAACACAATAGCTGCTTTCCTTTTACACTCAAGTGGTACTGAGTCACTCAGTTATGTGAGTATTTTATACTCAGATACGACGTCATTAATGTGATTAAACTCACTAAAGCACACGGTCTCGATCGTGTGCAAAAACTCAGTTCAATCTGGTCGAATCTCACTTCTCAAGAATCAAAAGGAACACGCATTCAACTGAGTTATGACAAGTGAGATTTATCTGAGTTTTCATGTAAAAGGAAAGCAACTAATGCCACCCAAATAGAACACATTAGTCATGAAAACATCAAGATGACATTGGTTTTTGATCATTTTTTATGCATCATGGTGACGTTAAAATAGCCCACCGAGAGCATCTATTTGTGACATCATTAAAACATCAAAATGTTGTGAAAACTTCTTGTTTTACTAAGCAAAGTTAATTCAATATTATACATTAAAACTAAATTGAAGTAATATGAGCTAAACATAATATATTGGCACTAACTTTTTCATTTTAAGACCTTTGTTTCACATTTATTACAGCTTTTAAATGAAGATGAATAATTTCGCGTTTGTCTCTTGCGCACCTTCGTCTCACGACAATTCTCATATGTTAGATTGCGATACTTAATTCATTGTTATTAAAATGACTTTGCGAAACCTTTTTATATTAGAACAACACCGATTGCGATGTACGATAGCTATTATTTTATAGATATTTATAGATTATTTTATAGACAGACATTTATTTTATATTATACACATCACGAATATCATAAATCAGTCATTGCAAAGTAAATCTTGATGTCGATCATTTTATGAATGGAAAATTTATCATTTTAATGTCACATTGACGTTTTTGTGATTAACTTGTTCTCCTTGGGCAGGGAACAGGCAACAGGCAACAGGAACAGGGAATAGAATTTCTGACTCGTTGGATTGGTCCGTTCATGATTTCAAGATAATCTTAAGTAATGTCTTAAGATGATAATACGCCTTTACATTGCGATTGATTTAAAACGATAAATAATAATATAAAGGCTAGACTAAAATCAAATATAAGAACAAACTATATGAATTAATTCCGGCCACATTCGCAGACAATCACGACCTTGAAATACACGCTCGTTACACACGCCGGAGTCTCAAGATCCGCCTAAGATCAAGCAAATGTAAGCTCGGACTATGCACATCGCTCGGGGCTCGACGCGACGAGGAAACGATTATTTCTTGATTGCAATTTCAATCTGGCGAGCGAGCGAGCGAACGAGACCACGTCACGATCGATCGTCAGTTCAAGGTTCGAGGTTCGACGCCTCGTCGATCGCTCGCTTCGCGATTGCTCGCGAGCGCGGGGGAGCCGGCGCGGGTCAATTCAATTCCTCGGCGCGTCCCCGTCACCCTCGGGCCTGCGCGGAGGCGAGGCGAGGCGGCGCGCCGGCACGCTCCGCGACGTTACGAAACGGCGCGTCGCGGTTGCGTCACGGCGCGTCACGGCGCGTCGTCGCCGGAGTGCCGCGACGATTAGAGCCCGCGTACCAAAGTCCGCGCGGCGCGGCCAGTAGTAGGGGTCGAGGGTAGAGTCCGGCGCGGGCGATGCGAGGCCGCCGCGGCACTCGGACGCCCGCCGTCGTCGCCGTCGCCGCCGATCGCAGGGAGTCGCCAGCCTCGTAGACCGATGGTGGCGATCACCACGTGTCGCGGCGCCGCCGCCGCCGCCGCCGCCGCCGCCGCCACCGCGACGGCGCTCAGGGCCGTCATACTGGGCGCCCCGGCCTCCGGCAAGGGCACCGTCTCCTCCAGGATCGTCCAGCAGTTTGGCGTCTCGCACATCTCCAGCGGCGACAGGCTGCGCTTCCACGTGTCCGCCGGCACTGGTACGTCGTCGTCGTCGTCGTCGTCGTCGCCGCCGCCGTCGTCGTCTTCGTCAGCGGTGGTCGTCCCGCCCCTGAATGCCTTTTTGAATGTTTAAGAGCGTCAATGTCCTCCCCGCCTTCCGTTCAGTTGTCGAATTGGTGTACGAGACGTGTGTTGAATTTTCGCTTAACGTTTCTTCCTTTCGAAAACACGCGGATCGCTGTATCGGATGTCAATTTTCATTGTCCGTTGTTCTACTAATCGTTTAACTGGTCTAAGGATTTTGTCGTTAACCCCGTTCCCCGTCAGTGTGAGCGTTTATCTCATTGCCGTTCGCGGAGCGATCGATTTCGTTAACGCGAAACTTTGTTTTTAACGCTCGCGCGCGCGCGCGCGCCGTTATGTAATCTAACTTGGACGTTGTTTCGTTATCAATCGGCTAATTTCGAAAACATGTCGGAATTGCCGTTTATCGCCGTGACAAGATAAATTCCCCGTGTTTAATCTTATCTTCGGCACCGTATCGCATAATCGAAAGGACTTGGATTCCGGTGCCGGCTGTGATAGCGCGCTTGAATTGTTATAGTTTCCAAGTGATCCCTGCTCGTCTGCAATCCACGTTTTCCCCCCCTGTTATTTATACGAATATAAATTACAATGCATAAAACATTAATTTGCATATTAAACAGATTCAGATATTATGTACATAATATTAAAAAAAATATATAACGATATATAATATATTATTATCATATTGAATCCGGTAATTTCAATGAAGCCCGTGTCAGACTACGGATTGAGATTAGATTGAAGTTCGACCGGAGTAAAATGCATTAAACTTGATATTAGTTGACTTTACTCCGATTAGTCAGATTTCGATCCAATCTCAATCTCGGTCCCTAGTCTGACGCGGGCTTAACGCGCGCCACACACGAGCATGCATACTTGGAACTTTTATAACGTTCAATTTGTTTCCATCTTCGTTCCCGTGCTTGAAAAATCGCCGGTCTGTTAATTTTAGAAACATCCCCCGCGAACACGACACACTTTCGGTACAACGAAACTCTCGCGATTACACGATGTATGAGACACGTGCCACTCCGTTGGCTACGCCCGTTGGTCCTCAGCTAAAACAGTCTCGTTTGCAGTTCTGGGCAAGGAGGTGAGGAAGTACATGGACAGCGGCAGCTTCGTGCCGGACGACACGATGATATCCCTCATCGGCGACGAGATCGACTCGGTGGCGGATCGGAATTGGCTGCTGGACGGTGAGTGGAAGGAAATGATTCTGGCCTCGTCGCGGCCAAGGCCGTCGTCGTCTCGCGGCCCGTGAACTCTGCCCGCCCGTGTAATCTAATTCGCGAGCGAATTCCTTTGCAGGATTCCCGAGGACGTTGACGCAGGCGGAGCGACTGCAGGGGCTGCACTCGATCAACCTCGTGCTGAATCTCGTGGTGCCGACCGCCGTCATACTGGACCGCGTCAAGAGCCGGTGGGTCCACTTGCCCAGCGGTAGGGTCTACAACATCGGCTTCAATGATCCACGAGTGCCGGTAATCAGCGCAACGAATGCGTTTCTATTTGCATTTGACAAAATGAACGAGCACTGGTATAACCGAGGACATTCTGGGACGTACAGTGCTACATTCTCCGGTTGATTGCGATCTGAAAGAATCTGTTGCGCACAATATTTTGATCTAATATAATTATAGAATACTGTACTTTTAATTTGAGAGTCGGGCATCTTGGCGTTAATTTCGTCGCGTTTTTTTTTTTCAGGGCAGGGATGATGTGACGGGCGAGCCGTTGTGCCAGAGGGAGGACGACAAGCCGGAAGTCGTGCAGAAGAGGCTGGAGGACTATACAACGAAGACCGAGCCAGTCGTGCAGTTTTACCGCGAGATTGGAGTACTGAGGGAGTTTCGAGGCAACACTACCAACGAAATGTGGCCGGTGATCAGGAATTGCGTGGCACAATACTGCTGAGCCTTAGAGATCGAATTTTTTTAGACGAATCTATTTAAATATGCGTCGCGCAGATCATTCTGATCCTCAAATAGGTCTATATCCGTTTAGACTGCTCCAATTCTTCGTTAGAGATCTCTCTAAACGAAAGAACTTCGGATGCCGAATCTGCGTCTAATTTTTATATTCCACCCGCCTGAGAATTAGATTAGAGATATAGAGGATTATATTGAATAAAATTCCGCGCGCGCCTAAAATATTTTAATATGTTTTTTTGTATCAAAGAATTGAAACGGCCAAGTTTAAACCTATTTGAGATCTGCGACTCGCGCTCATCTCACACGATAAACTCCATCGCGAATAACAGATGGAAGCATCGCGCTCTACTCCGACAACAATTGTTTTCTATCTTCGCGACAGCGAGAACACTGTACCATGGCGCGTATTCGCGCGGCGCTCTCTCTCTCTCTCTTACACACATGCACAAACGCATACTAGCGTGAATGTCATTAGGTTGTAAATACGCGATGTCATGCCGACAATAATAGACTCGTAGACGTTTCCGATACAAAACGCCTAGATAATACAACGATATTTCGCAGTAACTCGAGAGACATTGTATCGTTGCGAGCTACCTTTCGTTTCGCAACTGGCAGCTGCGCGACGAAGCCACTTTGCTTGTGGCCGAAGGTTCGAGGTATAGTACAAAGCAGGAATTATCGTTCGAATGGTCGACGATACATTCTAGAATGATTGTCACATATTTCTCAATTTATTTCGAGCGTATAGCGTTACAGCTGTAAGAGAGATATATAACAACGTTCAATATTGTGTACATATTCAACAGTATAAGTACAATATACGCATATAAATATGCATATATATACGCACGCATACATATACAGTCCGAGGCATCTAAAAAAAGTGTACATCTAAATGATTCTTCAGCGAACCTCTCTTTCTCTATTTTTAAATCTACATTATGCTTTAGAGAATACTCTAGGTTTATTTGTCGTCGATCAAGCAATTCGTACGTATCCACGTTACATCCTTGCTTCTTGGAGCGAATAAGTCTCAAGCGCGAAATAAACAGATGTTCGCTCTAATCTATTCTCTATTCTATCCTATCTTTACTGCAAGTGTGCTCTGCTGCTCTTGAAAATATCGTTAAAGACGGGGCTTAATATAGCTCGTAGGAAGATAACGGGGAATGATTCGTTTAAGGTTGTAAGTTTTTAAAATTTCGAGAATTTCGTCACAACTTTTTTCTTTTATATAGATGTTCCTATATAGTTTTTTTATTTATTTATACAACTATAAATACAGGTACAGATATCAAATCTGTTCTAATAAATACTTAGATGTACACTATTAGATGCTTTATTCTGTATATATACCATGTTCACGTTCCTCAAATTCCTCTTGATTCCTTTTTCAGGGCAGAAGAGTTACTCAGGAATAACACAACGATTATAAATAAATAAATAAATTAATGCCTTATTATAGTTACTTTTAAATAAATCAGACTTGAGAATCGCCGCGCTTTTATTCGCGCGGAATTTTGCTGCTTGCATAGAAAGAAAATTTTGCAAAGCACAATTTCAACAAGACAATTCAACAATTCAACAATTTAACGCGCGTCGCAAAATCATTTCAAAAAATAACGAAAGTCTCATTGTAATACGCGAAACAAATATTCGCCGATAACGAATCGTTGCAATATTAAGTCATATTAAATTGTATATTAAGTTTCACCATTGGTTATCAATATACAAAGTTAACAACGAATTTAGAGATCATATGTAATCAAATAAAAAAAACTTGTGCATTCTCATAATAATCGCATACATATACATATATTCCTATTGAATGATCGGAAAAAAACGAATGAATCGATTTTAGTCGAATACCTTGTACTAACGTCGAGAATAATCTTGCTTTCGTATTCTCCTATCTCATAAGTAACAATAACTGGTCATCGAGTTAACTCGAATCCCACTTTCATACACAATGGGAATGCGTTGCTCACCGTCGCTGAGCATCTCTTCCAGGACAATATATCCGACCCGCGCTTGTTACATTTTCTCCATATGCGCTCTGGAGATGCGGATATACGAAAAGAAGCACTGCCTCGTGATTTCGGGCGAGCAGAGACGTTTCTCGCGAGAGTAATTCCGGACGAGCAGGGAATCGCGCGCGTCATACCCTCGCGTCCTCCTCTTTCCTTTTCTATCTTACTGCAGCAACTCGAACTCCTCGCACTCGTACAGATCGTCCACCATGCTCTCGTGACCGGCGAACTGACTTGCCGCCGGCAGAATATCCTCGACGACCTCGATTCCCTGCTGCAGATCCTTGCCGCTTCCCTCGCAGAACAGGAACATCGGGTATTCTATCTTCTGGTTCGGTATCACGAACTGCAATGTAAATGAGACGTCTTACTTTCGCTCAATGGAAAGCAGAGTTTTTCTTATCTTTTATTTTTATCTTTCCTTTTCTATTTATACCTTGAGTTTTATTTATCCATTTCTAGAATGCAATAAGTGTTCTGAACGTTACTCTTTTGTTTAATCAGTTCAATTTTACATATGAATTCAAATGCATTAGTGGCAACTAATTAAGTTAAGGAATAAATATATTCTAGGTGCGAAAAGTAATGATAGATTTAATGCTTAACCATTTTAAACGAGTCATCATTGAAGAGAATCGAAACGTTTGACTCGTTTAAATTGGTTAAACATTACATTTATTATTACTTTTCGCGCCTAACGTCTAGCGTTGGCTCTTACTGCCTGTCTCCTTTTTTATTAATTTTTAACGTAAAATTAAAGGTCCACATTTACCCGTTGAATTGTTTCCATAAAGTCGGTGAGCGACTCCTTGTCGGGAAAGTAGAAGCCCACACAACAGCTAGGGTCCATCTTCGAGAGCAACATCTTTCTCGGTGACGTGCAGTGGAAGCTTGTTAACGGGAATTTTTCATTTCCCTCAACGTCAACGGTCTCCTGAATAATAAAAGTAAAGAAATGAATCAGCATTATTTAACTATATATTCAATCAATTAAAAATGCAGAAAGATACCAAAGGCAGTTCTACACAAAACGACAAAATAAACTGAAAGCTAAATGCGCCTCTGAGTCGGAGATAAAAAAATAAAAAAGTAAAGCAAATAAATATTTAAAATATGGACTGACATAACATGAATTCGAACACGCAAATTAATAAGCGTCAATCAAATATCAAGGCAACGTTTACTTTTTAAGAGATTGAACGTTACCTGACAGTAATGCGGATCCAAGTGGATCAGTTTGTCGTCCTGATAGCCGATAAAGTAGAGCGAGTGTCGCGGCCGGCCACCGATCACGCCGATGCATGTGTCCAGTGTCAACAGCGACGTCAAACAGGGCGCGTAAATCGGATTTAGCTTGTCGGCGCCGAGCCTCAAGGGCACTAAGAGTATCAGCGCCTTCCATCTCCCATCGGGAGTGCAGCAGGCATTTTCGACATCTTGCATGTACACTAGAAAAAACAATGTTCGATGAATTTATGAATTTTTTTTAAATTTTGTTTTATACCATTCTGTAGAAGCAGAATTTGTATTTAATTTTAAATTGCGGTCTAATTTGCTTTTTAAAAAATTTTATATGATGCACATTGGAGAATCAAATGCACGCATCTCCACAGTTTCGGCAAACCTTTTACATCGTTAATACTAACCTGCGCAATCTTGGGCGACGTATACCGCCAATTGATTGAGCTTACTGTTGGGATCCTCGCTGGCGCGTTCCATGGCCTGACACAAGAGATGCGCAACCGAGGATGGACCGTACCAGTCGCCCGCGCGCTTCCCCGTCATGGCGCCGAGCGACACGAGCCTGTGTATGGAGAATGGGGATTCCGGTGTCGGCTGATCGCCAAACCATTTGATAATCATCCGATGACTGCTCTCGTCAGCCGATTGTTCTGGCCGCCATCTCCACTCTGCGTAAAATCAGGAGATAAACTTTCCATTCGGTTCTATGTAACAATAAGAAGTACAGGCACAAATTCTTCGTGCTCTTGAAAATTAAAGACAAACTTACACATTTTGTATTTACAGGGATTAAGAACAATAATGACGTTTAATAAAGTAATTCATCTTGAAATATTTAAATTCTGCCTATAATAATTATTGCCTATCTAATATATACAGGGTGTTAAAAAAACCTAAATAAACATAGGTCGAAAACTCAACCGTTTCTGATATAAACATTACAGCTTCTACATGTCGCATGCAATGTTCTCCCTCGATCCCCTGACTTTAATACATTGAACTTTTTTTAGGGGGATATTTGAAAAGCATAGTGTATTCTTCGCCGATAAATGACTTAGAAGAATTACGTGACCGAATCCAGCGTGCTTGTCAAATAATTCGACGGATACCTGGAATTCTCGAGAGAGTTCACGATTCGGTAAGAAGATGCCAAGCGTGTGTGGAAACGGAAGGAGGACACGTGTAACACTTTCTGTAAATATCAAGATAATGGCCTAGTTTACACCGACAGACCTAAACTGTGACCCAAAGTAGGTCTAGTTACCAAGTGTTCACACCGAGGAGGCCTAAAAAGTGACAAGGACTTGATTAGGTCGTATTTAGTTTAACCTTACTTCACAGCTCAACAAAGCAGCAGCGGCTGATGCGTTTACACCGTAAATTTTAGGTCAGGTCTCTAAAATAAGAGGCTTGACCTAAGTCAGGTCAGGTCATCTACCAAATGTTTACAGCGGGCGGCCTAAATAATTTAGACAGATTATCTTCTTCTCACATCGCATGCGACATAGAAGCCAGTAAGTCAATCATATGGTGCTAACATACAAAAATGTTTATATCTCAGAAACGATTGCGTTTTCGACCTATGTTTATTTAGGTTTTATTTACTCAGTGTCCCATCTACCATATAAATATTGAATGGTTGTTTTAACACCATGTATATATATTTTTTCTACCTAGGAAAAACGTTTTCAAATCTTTTAAGAGAAAAACCAGTCGCTTTACTTAAGCTCTCGAGAATGGAGAGCCAACGAGTCTACTTAGCGCCAACAAAATAAATTTGAAAGGGAGAGACAATCACCCCGTCCGAGGAAATGGCAGACTAGTGCTTGCGCCAGCATCATTTGCCCGCTGCGCAGCATGCAACCCCAACCGCAATCCGTGGTAAAGGTGGAGCCGTTCAGGATCGGGAATTCCCGTCTATACGTCAGCCAAAGGCGCGACACGAAATCCCTCTTGAATTCCTCTATGGTATTCTCGAAATTCGTGGCATCCATCGCCAAGGAGACCTGACTCCCCGTTCCAACCGGCTCCAATGCCTCCGATGCTCTCTCCAGGGGATACTCCGATTTCTTCAGATAACACTGACCCAATAACCAGACGGGAGATTCCTTCGAGAAGTTCGTCTTCATTTTCACAGTCCAGCCTGTTGTCAACAAAGAGGCTCGGCAATTATTTCTCGTAATAGTTTTCATACTGTGCACAACAAATTCATCGAACAGCTACCGGTAGGACAATATAATCGACAATAATTAATATCCTACGACGATTCGCACCGGGAATGTACGATTAAAACCTGCTGAAATGCGTACCATACTTAACGTTGTTCCACATAGAGAGCAATTTCGTCTTAACCTTGCTGTCGACCTCCGTCGCGGCTATAGTGTCGTCTAACTCGGCCTCCGAGTTGAATGACTGAATGGTAGGAACACGATCCGTGGCGATCATCCCGGAAAACAGTCCAAGATTCACGGGACCGAAACCACCTGCAAACATACTCGCTGTTTAACGACCTCGAAATTCATGGATATCTTGAAAAATTTCATGCAACTGTTCTTCCACTTTATCGTTGCTCTCCCTCTCTCTCCCCTTCATTACTTTAATTATATCATTTCGATTAATTACTTTTGAAATTCTACTACTTTATTACATTTCGATCACTGTGTTTCACCTTTCCTGTGCATGTCTGTGTCCTGCCAGCGGGCCAAGTACAAAGGACGGAAACGACAAATCTCACAATGGACGGCGAAGTACTCTCGCCGTGCTCCTTTTCTATTCGCCCTCCCCCGGCCTTCGCGCAAGTGGAAAAGTAAGAATCGCTCTCGCCTCTCTCTCTCTCTCTCTCTCTCTCTCGAGAGAGAGAGAGAGAGGAATTTACCCGTCCCAAATATTAGCTGCCATTATCACCGTCTCCGTTATCTGCGTGTCAATTTGGATAATCGTCGAGCGTATTGTGTAAGCTGAATAATGCATTATGCACAAACACACGCTGCGCGCGAGTCAACGGGCGAGCATACACGGGATGCAGACGGGCCACTTAAATGCCGTCAATATTATTCTCCGCGTCGCTTTGTCGAGGATCATCGTCCGCGCCGCTCCCGCGGATCTCGCACCTCCCGCCGTTCCCGGACGCCGCGGACTGCAAGACGAGCGGCTCCGCCGCCGCCGCCGCCGCCGCGCGATTAGCACCTGTTGTCGGCGCTGTCGCAACACATAAATCATCAAGGTAAATAAATTAGCAGGTCACCACGCCGGGCCCCCGCGGCATTCCTCGCCTTCTTATCTCGCGCGAAACGTAACGTACGCGACACACAGCGTCACGGTTGTTTGCACGGTGTTTGCAGTGCGCTCAATCGATTATCCAAATTGACACACGGTTAACAAGTACGGCGATAATAACAGCTAACGTCGGGACAATGGTGAGACTATTTTCAAACGGGGAGGGGGAGGGGAGATAAAATTCTAAGCCGCCTGTTGCTAATTGTGTCTCTCATTGACTGTCGCGTTTGTTTTGCCAAAAGGGAGGGGGCGCGGGGGAACAGAGAGGAGTGTTTCCCCGGGTTTGTTTTCTGTTCCTGCACTGGTGAACTAGTGCAATAAATTAGAGCGGGACAAGTATATTTTTTTCTCATTCTAGCTTACTGCGCCGGTTCACCAGCGCAGCAACAGAAAGCAAACCTCTGGACACCGGCGAGAAGCGGATACGTACACTGGGGGATATCACCGGCGCCTTCCCGCATGAATTTGCGCACATGCCAATGCACTTGCGCACCCTGCGTACACGTGGAAAATGCACCCGTGCTCCACCCATGCTTCCGATTCACCCGGGAAGACGTCGGCGGTTCCTGGTGTACAAAAAAAAGGGGGGAGTAAAAAAGTGGGAAAACTGACGCGTCAGCTGGAGGCTTCCAGTCGCCGTGTGAGCGCCCCGTTGTTTCGCGCGTCCGTTCGACCGCGGTCCCCGCGTTGACGCACTTTCACGTTGCACCTCGACCGCGCGACTTCCGCCCCAATTTCGCTCCGCGCGATCCTCGGCTCGCCGACTTCCAGAGAGCCCACCTACTTGCCGTCCGTCGTCCGCTTTATCGCGCGATCGCGACGAACGATAGATATTACTATCTGCGCATCGTACGACGTGCTCGATTCATCAGATACCGCCGGGGGACAAAGCGACGCGCATCGGTCGCCGTCGGCGCAAACATTGAGAACCAGGAGCCTCGGAGCCGGGCGAGACGAGGGGGCGCGAAACGTGGAGAAAGCGAGGAGAAGTCAAGGTCGAGGGTAAGAAGAGCGACATGGGGGGGGGGATCGGGGGGGCAGCACGGCCGGCCCCGTTGACAGCGGACGTAAACAGCAGGTGTTGACACCCACCTAACCTCTCCCGCGACGACTGCACCTGGCCGTTCATGTCCCTCGGGCTCGCTGCCGCGTGCGCGACGCCGCGAACGGGGTGCAACGTGCCGGGACGCGCTACACGCGGGCGACTCCTGCCGCGGGTCTCGTTGACGGTCGTGTCACGTCGACGAGGCGGAGAGGCGGCCGACGGCGGGGCGATCACATCTTCGCGCTCGCGCCGCTCCTTCTGTCCCTTTCCCTCGGCGACGTCGAGCGTTAGGAGAGGCCGGCGGCGCGGCGCATCCTCGGCGATCGGCGCGAGCGACGGCGTTCCTGGCTGCGATCGGGATCGTCTCGGTAACTCGTTACGCTCCGCACCACGGCGTTGCGCGGGCGTCGTTGGTTGTTGGCGTCGCCGCGCGAGTTCTCTCTCGGGCCGGGCGTCTCGGCGCATGCGCGGCGAGCGCGCTGCCCAGCGGCGTGCCTAGTTCGAGCGCGACGCGGGCGCCCCGGCGACCACCGCTTCTGGCTCTCTATTTCCTACCGGCGGCCTCGTCTCGTTTTCCTCCCGTTCCGGAAGACTGTTCTCGCGACGCGAGGAGATCGCGCGTATCCGCGGCGTCGCTCGCCGGCCCGCATCCGTTTTTCGTCGGGAATCGGCGGATCCGCCCGCGAAAAATATTTCTCGGAGCGCGCCCGCGCGCAACGTGTTTCGCGCGCGCGCGCGGCCGCGCACGCGCGTTGACCGCCGGCGCGATTGAAAATCCCTGGCGTCGTTGTCGCGGTGCTCGCTCGCTTGCTTGCGCGCGCGCGTTCTCACGGGCGGCGAGGAGCGGAGAGGCGCGACGCTTTCGATCAGGAGCGCGTGAAATCGGCTTGCGAGGAGAGAGATTGGCTTGACGAAGGACGGCCGCAACGATGCGAATCGCAGAAGTAGGAAACCCGATTGATTTGTCTCACCGACCGCGAACGCGAGCGACACCGAAACGGAATCTGAATTCTCTTTTATTTCTCTCTCTTTCTCTCTCTCTCTCTCTCTCTCTCTCTCTCTCTCTCTGTTTCTCTGTCCTTCTCTCCTGAACGTTGCGTCATGGAATTTAAGGCGTCCATTATGGCGGCGTACGATAATAATCGCGTTTGACGGTTGACAATTGTACCGTGAAAGAAGGAGAAAGTTAGCGAGCAAGTAAGCGAGAGAGAGAGAGAATATAATTAAGCCTTTCAGGACATTGAAACGTTGCAATATTGAATGCCGAAGTATAAATATATTTTCTATCGTTGAATCTGGGTCAATGTATGTTGTACATTAATTCTTTACATTGCTGCAACATTAAAACAATCTTGAAGAAATTATTACTCGCTGACACTCAAATAGATACTCAATGTATAATTACGAAATGTACGTAATACTTTTGCAACGGTCAGAAACTTTCTGAGCCAAGATTGGATTATTATTCTGGTGGAATAATTCAATCTCAGCACTTCCTACAGTTGTAACAAATATTCCGCTGAACGCGACCAATATATATGTTGACTCGATATAATTCAGTGTTTTCCGAGTGTTGAATCGTAACCTTTGCAAGGCATTACAATTCAGCGGACATTAGGCGTGTTTTTTTTCAACGTTGAATCTACATTTCGTAACATTGCTGCAACATTGCAACGTTGCAAAATGGAACGTCTCTGAGATGTTGATTCGACATTTGTGTGCTGCACGGGATACATTCTTTGTAGCCCAAGAATTAAATAATGAAACTATTGATAGCGAAAGAATGGGACTATTTAATGGCTAATGAATTAACTGCAGATTCTCACAGTATTAAGACTAACGGGGTAACAAGGGAAAATGAGAATCAAACGCGTTTAGCTGCACGGGATAATGGGATTATTGATAACTAATGCATAAAGCATCATACGACGTGAATACTCTCGTAATTACATAACGTGGTATTATGTTATCTAATTACATGCGCAGGATATAATATAATACATGTACTGCAGATAATTATGTATAATTATGTAACGCGCGGCAAGTATATCTTACTGATTTACATCTGATAATTAAATATGTACATTAGAGAATGCAGCGCACGTTTTAAAAGGAAAATCCTTTTTGCACGCAAGTTGTTCCACTGCGTGTACGATTTTATTTTAAACCGCGGAGGGAAAATAATGTACAGGACTCGTGGATTCAGCGTACAAGAATTCACGCGACAGGTCACGGTTATTCGAAATGTAAATCTGAAACATTATATGGAATATAATTCACATCTTACATTTTATTTCGAATATAATGAATGGCAGGGAATTAACACACTTTAGACTCTAGCCTGGAAGCGCAAAGGTAAATTTTCTGTGTTAAAAACACGTTGCCAATTGTGGCCGATTACAAGCTTAATTATTGTCAGTCGTGTACTGGCGTCAAATAATTCTTGATGCTAAAAGAATATGTTGCAACAAATGTGTTTTAATGCATTAGAAATAGCTGAGGAAGCTAAACAAATATCAATCGATCAATCTCTACATTCAATGGTGCAACAACGCAAAGTCACTTCCCAAAGGAGGAAACAACCCCAATGGGGCTTTGACCTTCCCCTGTTTCCAGAAGTTTCCGGAGTATATAAATTTTTTATGGGAATGGGTTATTAATTACTTCAATTACTTCCCCCAACCCTCTTCACGAAGGCAACACTGCATTTACACTTTTTTATAGTTTAACTTCGTTCCAACCCCTCTTTCTCTCTCTATCTCTCTTTGTTTCTCTTCTCCCTCGTCTCATCTCTTTCCTCCTTGGTACTTTCGTTTGAAATAAATTTTCACGGCGCTTTATCTGTCCCCTCGGCTGCCTAGATTCACTCATCGAAATTCATTATTATTCTTTCCTTATCAGCGTGAATGATGAATACAATTTCGACGCTATCTTATCGCGCACGCATGAACAACATCGAATTATTGGCATTTCAAGGGAAAATTTTCGAGTGAGCGGCGCGCCGAGTCCAAGCACCGCGCGACGTGCCTCCCACGCGAATATATATATTTTTTCCTCTCCTCTCGCTGAGAGAAAGAAACGGAAGGAAGGCATCGTTAGGCGAGGGAAAGAGGTTCAAAGAAACCGCGCGCGATCACGCGATATCCTTCCCGTTGCATCGCCGCCGCAGGGACGTTCCCCGCGGAGGATCAATAAGACGATCGTCCCATTAACCCGCGGTCCCGCGCGTCTGTTCGTTATAAACTTATAACTCCCTCCAAGACGGATATCGGGAACACGTACCCAGCTGTTTAAAGAGTCACTCGGAAGAGCCCGCGATTGACTCGCGAGATCGATAATTCCGGGACAAAGCGCGATTGGAAAATCGCGCGGCGCAACTTCCCCGCGCCGCCCACGGAACAAAACGCTCGACGATCTCGCCCGCGAACTCGAGGATCCGTTGAACCCGAACTTTAAACGATCCGCAATTCGCGTCAGAGAGATGTCACGGTATAGAATTCCATTTATAAACTCTGCACGCCGCGCATTTTGCGCGACATGTGCGACTGACGTATCATACCCCAATCCTTATGTATCCCTAATCCCTTCATGGCACGGGGAGAAGGTTCGTTTAAAATTTATCCTGAAAATCTAAGCAAACGTGGGACAACCTGGCATTTTGAACGGCTTTATTAGAGTTTTCTGAAGTTTTACCGTGCGTTTTGCATCATACGCGGAACAAAATGATGTCTTCTCAACAAGATCGGTGCGATTGAAATAACTTCGTTGAAACAACGTCAGTAGAGGAAAGTCCTCTACTATGAGAGGTTTCTAATATGAGACAGCAGGCTTTTAACACTTAAATTCAATCACAAATCTTTTTTCGCAACGACTACACGATCTAACAATTACTTATTCTCCACTAAACAGATTTCGCTCCAAGGGCAATAAATTCACGGTGGAACTAACAGACGTTGCCTATTAATTTGGTAGAAAATTCGCTATCCCATATTAGGATCCTATCGCATAATAGGAGACTTTCCTCTATTAACGAGTGAGAAACGTCAGGTAGTTGTCTTAATAATCTAGATCTTTAGTTAAACGCTTAAAATTAAAATCCATAGCAAATACAATTGAGTTAATTATTTATGTATGTTTGTGGCAGCCCGTGACGTTTAATTCAAGCAGCTTCGTGTTTCTTTAATTGAATAGCATTTCTCTTTCCGCGCATCAAGTACAATTACTAGTGAAAAGTATGGCAAAATTTCAGAAAACTCTCACAAAATTCTTCGAGATGCCACGCCGTCCCACGATTGCATGATTTTCAGGATAAATTTGAAGAGAAAATTCTCTCCGTGTGTATACACTTGTCCGTTTGCGCGGTATTTCACGTACGCGATTTCATTCTTCTTTTTTTTTACGCGATAAAAAAACCCTCCGTTCGCACGGAAGAAGAAACTGAAACCGAGCAGGAACAGGCGAGAGAAGTATAATCTTGTTAGCAAATACATTACAGTACACGGAGCGTTTCCCTTATTTATTTTTTTTCTACTGACAGACTCCATTTGCGCGATTCTCAACCGGGCCGCGTGAGAAAGACCACGTGGGAGAAATGTTCCACGTAAATCAAGGGGCGGGAGCGTTTCGAGTGCCATACATTTTGATATATGTAGGGGAAAGTCCCCTATTACGAGATAGGATCCTAATATGGGATAGCGGGGTTTCCGTCAAATTAATAGGCATCGTCAGTTGATTCCACCATGTATTTATTGCCGTTGGAGGAAAATCTTAGTGGAAAATTGATTGTTAGATCGTGTAATCGTTGCAAAAAATCATTTGTGATTGAATTTGGATGTTGAAAACCCAGGGTTGGGAAAGTTACTTTATAAAAGTATCTAGTTGCAGTTACAGTTTTTTTTTCGCTAAAAATGTAACTAGTCACAGTTGCAAGTTACCAATTCTGAAAAGTAACACGTTACAGTTACTCAAAAAGTAACGAATTGTTACTTTGCAGTTACTTTTATGCAATAAAAATGAAAATATCAAATCTGCATTCGAATTGTAAAGCGTCGATAAGGCGTTTATGCGCAAATGCAAGGCCTAATGCAATTTGTGGGGGTTCAAAAAATATATAAAGTAACTATTGATGTAACTATTGAATTAATTACTGGTTATTGGAAAAATGTAACTGAGTTAAGTTACAGTTGTAGACGAAGAAAAGTAACGAAGTTAGAGTCACCAGAAAAAAAGTAACTGTAACTGTAACTTCGTTACAAGTAACGAGTTACTTGCCATCCCTGTGAAAGCCTGCTATCTCATATTAGAAACCTATCCCACAATAGAGGGCTTTCCTCTGTATACGTGCACGCGTTCTATACTTTTAAACGTTTCTTTTCTTTGCCCGCGGGGTGGTAAAACCTAAGTAAA